ATCTGTTTAAAAATAATCAGATAGGGGCCTCCCCAGTGGCACAGTGGTTGAATGCTGGGTTGCGAAGCTGCCCGAGGCCTCTGTGGCGCCGGTTCCATCCCCGGCTGCTCCCCGGCCACTGGAGGAGGGTCCCACATGGCGCGCAGACCTCTCCTGCGCCGCTGCTCCCTCAGCAGTGTACTTCAGTCCTTCTGCCTGCTCTGCTTCCTGCTCTGGCTCTGGTGAATTCTCTCACCCTCCCGCGCTTCTGACTGTACCCAGTGCTTGTATAAACAAACAAACAAACAAACAAACAAATAAATAAATAAAAATACATGCCTCTTTAAAAAAATAAAAATAATAAGATAAATGTATATTTTTTAATCTCCCCTTATTATACAAAAGGTAGTATACTTTTTAATAGACTATTTTGTGCTTTATTTCCTTAACAGTGTATCCCAGAAATTGCTCCATGTAAGTTTGCAGATATTGAGGGGGTAGGGGTGAGGAAAATTTGCAAATATTGTTCGCATTTTTATAGCTACATAGTATTCTGATGATGGTTGTACCAGCTTATTCATCCGTTCTCCTATGTATGTGAGAATTTTGATTGTTTCCAGTGTTTTGCAATTAAGAATAACACTGCTTGAAATATTTTGTGTTGTCATGTTTCCCTTTAGTGCAGGTATGTTTTCTATATAAATTCCTTACAAGTGGCATTGCTAAGTTAAAGGCTAAATGCACTTGTAGTTTTGTTAGCTATTGCCAAATTCCCTTCTATAGGGTTTTGTTGTTTTCTGTACCCATCAATGATGTCTCATAGTACCAGTTTTTCTATAGCTACATCAACAGAGTTTGTTGCTGGGATTTTAATTTTTTTCCAATTTCCTGGTACTCTATTGTTTTAATTGGCATCTCTCTTATTACAAGTGAAGTTGAAAATCATTTCCTATCTTTAAGAGGCATTTTTCTATCTTGAGAGTTATCATGTTTATTGCTTATCAGGTATTTGGTTTCTTTCCCCTTGATTTTTAGAGTTCAGGATATGTTAAAGATAGTAATCCTTTATCTCTGATATATGTTGGCAACAGGTTTTCTCCATTTTTTTTTTTTTTACTTTTGGTCATTTGTCTTAGGATTTGTAAGTATTTTTATATTTTTGTGGTTGCATTTATTAATCTTTTTTACATCTGGATTTTGTAGTCATTGTTAGAAAGGCTTTCCCTATAGTCAGATTATAAACATTTATCCCTATTTTCTTCTAGTACTTTGTATGCCTTTAGTTCTTTACATTTGTATCAAAATCCTGTTGTAATTTCCTCTGGGCACATACCCAGAAGTGGAATTGCTGGATCATATCATAGATCTATTTTTATTTCTTTGAGGAACTTCCATATTGTTTTCCATAGTGGTTGGACTAATTTACATTCCCACCAACACTGTGTAAGTGTTCCCTTTCCCCATATCCTTTCCTGTGGCTCTGGTCTCTTGTTGTCTTGATGCTAGCCATTGTAATATGTGTGACATGATCTCATTGTGATTTTGATTTGCAGTTCCCTGATGGTTAGTGGTAATTTAGCATCTTTTCATGTGCCTGTTGGCTATTTTGATGTCCTCTTTGGAAAAATGTCTTCTGCCTTTGGTTAAAACAAACTTTTTTTTTTTAATTCTGTAAGTTCTTTATATGTATTCTATAGGCTGTCTTTTCATTTTGTTTAATTCTTTTATTGTACAGAAACTTTTGAGTTTGATGTAATTCCATTTGTTGATTTTGATTTTGTTGTTTATATTTTTGGCATCATATCCAAAAAATCATTGCCCAGATCAGTGTTGATTAGTTTCTTCCCTATCTTTTTTACCTAGGAATTTTATGGTATCAAATCTTGTTTCTTTTTACCCTCTTTTCCCTCAGAAGTGATGCTATTTTGTGAATGTTACCTTTCCGGTAGCAGGTTAGGGTTTATGTTGTTGGGTTTACGTTGGTTGGGTAGGGTTTACGTTGGTAGGGTTAACATTGTTGTTGTTGTTGTTCTAAGCGTGTTTTCAGTTCATCCTTAGACTCTCGTTCCCTTATCTTTAATGTTTTTTCAGACCTTCTCATACTCCAGGAAGGAGTATATACGTCATGACAGTAGTTTGGAAGACAGCTGAGCTAGAATTGGTATTTTCTGTTACTTGTAGGTAATTGGAGTTTGTAGGAGTCTTTGTTTTCTATTACAGAACAGAAGATACGGGTCTTGTGTGGTTTTATTTGTTCTCCATATTGTTCTCTCTAGCTTTTTAGTGTGTGGAGAGATTTGGATTTACAGATACACTTATTCTAGATTACCTGGGAGTGCCTTGATTTTCTTTGATTAAAAAAATTAAGTTATAATTAATATACAGTAAAATTGACCTTCTTTAATGTACAGTTCTCTAAGTCTTTGACAAACTCATATAGTTATGTAACTGCCCCACATGAAAATATGGACTAGTTCTCTTGCCTCCCAGTATTTTCTTTGTAGTTAACCCTTGCTGCTCCCTGGTTCCTGGTAATCACTGATAGAATTTTTGGTCTCTAAAGTGTTGCCTTTCCCATAATCTTATGTAAATGGAGATATACTGCATATCACTTTTGAGTCTGGCTGCTTCACTTAACATGATACATTTGAGGTTCATCTATGTTGTTGCTTATATCATTCTTTGATTTTTATTGCTGAGTAGTATTATATTGTATGAATTCCAGCTTTCTTATCTATTCACTAATTGAAAAACACTTCGGTTGTTTCTGGATTTTGGTGATTACATATATAAATGTCATATAAATATATACATATATAAATGTCATATAAATATTCATGTACAAGTTTTTGGATTTATGTAAATTTTCATTCCTTGGAGTAAATATACCTGTGAGTGAGATTGCAGGATCATGTCAGAATAGAGGCTTATCTTCATTAGAAATTAGAAAACTGTTTTCCAAAGTGGCTGTGCCATTTTGCATCCCTACCTGTATTACATGAGAGTTTCAGCACTTGGTATTATTAGGGTTTCTTCCCATTCTATACGCTATGTCATCGTGATTTTAATTTGCAGTTTCCTCAAGACTAAGGGTGTTGAGCATCTTTGCATGTTGGTATTTAATCATTTGTGTATCTTCTTTGGTAAAATATCTCTCCTTTGCCTGTTTCTAGTTTTGAGAGTTCTTTATATATTTTCAACACATTTATTTGCCAGATAGGTGATTTGCAAATATTTTCTCCCATTTTGTGGCTTTTTATTTTCTTAGGGGTGTCTTTTTGAATTTGGTGTGACATCTAAGAAGTATGTAGCTAACCTAAGCTTAAAAATGTTTCTTCCTGTACCTTCTTCTAGAAATTTAAAGGTTTAGGTCTTACATTCAGATCTGTGACCCATTTTGTGTTCCTTTTTATATATGTGGAGGCATGAATTGAAATTTTTTTTGCATATGGTTATCCAGTTTTTCTAACACCATTGTTGAAATAAGAACTTCCATTTTCATTGAATGGCCTTAGCACTTTGTCGATAATTTTCAAGTATAAAGAAAGAAAGTACACATAATTATAACATTACATGCAGTGCAGTTTATGTGTATAGCCTGATGAATTATCACAAAGTGAACACACTGTGTAGCTGCCCCACAGGTCAAGATGAGAACATAATCAGAACCTCTGAATCCCTCCTCATGCCCTCTCCCTGTCAGTGCCACCCCCAAAAGTAATCACTTTCCTGACTTCTAACATCATGAATTGGCTGTGCAGTTTTCTTACCATATGCAAATAGGATCATGCAGTATTTACTCTTCTGTGTCTGAATTCTTTGCTTATCAGTACATCTGGGAGATTTATTGATGTTGAATATGTACTTCATTCATTTTCACTGCCACACAGTATTGCATTGAATGTGCCACAATTTGCCCATTGTTTTGTTGAGAGACATTTGGAATCTTCCACAATCTAATAATAGAAATAGTGCTGCTATGACTATCCCTGTACTTGTCTTCTAAATCACATGTGCCTGATTTTTCCCTGAGGATGATTGCTGGGTCACAGTATATGCAAATCATTAACACTAGAAATAATGTCAAACTGTTTCCCCAAGTTATACTAGTTTACATTTGTACAAGCAGTGTATGTGAGTTCCCATTTCAACACAGTCTTACGGGATTTTAGTCTGCTTAATTATAACCTTTCTTGTGGGTGCCTAGTGGTGGCTTAAATTTTTATTTAAGTGCTAATAAGGTTGAGTACATTCCAGTTTACCTGAGTACTAATGAAGTTGAGTACATTTTATTATGTTCCTTGGGAATTTTTCAGTGAAATGCCTATTCACATCTCTTGTCTATTTTGCTGTTGCTTATATGTTTCTTATTGATTTGTAGGGATTGTTGCAGGTATTCCAGATGAGCTCCCTTCACCACTTATGCATGTTGCAGATAATCTCATCTCCCCTGCTGTAGCTTGCCTTTTCACTGTTGTATTTTAAATCTTGTAACTTTTATGGATCTTTTCCTTTATGAGTAGTGTTTTTTTCATGTCTTGTTTTAGAATTCTTTCTCTATCCCAAGCCTCTGAAAACATTTTCCTGTATTACTTTCTAGACACTTTACTCGGTTACCCTTCACATTATATTTATAGTTTACCTGTCACTGATTTTTGTGTATGGTAAGAGCTTAGGTGTTAAATACTGTTTTCACCACCACGCCCCCCATATAAATAGCCAGTAACCCATCCATATTTGTTTGAAAAGATCATCCTCTCCTTACTACTGTCCAGTAACAATGTTGTCATAATGCAGGTGTCAATACGTATTTGGATTCTTTTTAGTTTTATTGAATTATTGGCCTATTGTTGTGCTAATATCACATTATTTTATATACTCTATCATTTAATGGAAAAGTTTTCCCTGTGTTAAGTCATCATCATGAACAGGGAACCCAAACATATATTAGAAGCTTCCCTATATTACGTCCTCATCACCTGGTAGCTGGCATTTTAGAATAAAGGAATATACAATTGCAGGGGCTGGTGACGTTCGAGGATGTGGCTGTAGACTTCACCCAGGAAGAGTGGCAGTACCTGAACCCTTCACAGAGGGCTCTGTATAGAGATGTGATGCTGGAGACCTATAGCAACGTGGTCTCTGTGGGTAAGAGTGGCTTTCTCAAATAATTTGCTATTTGATTTTTGTGTGTAATAGAGATCCTTTCCTTTGTCCATTTTGAAACTTGTAAAGTCTTTGAACTACTTGAAAGTTGAACAGCTTGAGTTGCGGGGAACAAAATTCCTTTTCCCCCTTTGCTCTTCTGACAAGGTGTTTGTGACTCAAAACCCAGGTGAAATCGTTTGGTTTTACCATTATATCAAACAATAGGTCCATTGTGCTGCCCCAAACTCCACCTTCCTCTTTCTCAAATGCTCTGAAGACCAAGGAGGTTTCACTATCATTTCTCATTAGCAGGGCAACAGGTTACCAAACCAGATCTCATCCTCAGTTTGGAGGTAGAAGAACCATGCCCAGCGGAAGGAAAGATCCCAACTTGGAGCTTTCCAGGTAAGTGGGGTTGACACTGACTATGGGAACACGAGCTCCCAGCTTGTCAGGAGTGAGGACCTCTGAAGGTCTTTTAGGAATATCTTGGGAAACGTCTTGACTCTTTGAGATTGTTGGAGGATAAGCACGTGAATACCTCAGGCATCAGACTCTAATACTCCCCACTCTCCTTAATTCAGTGCTTACCCACAAGTTCCTGTACATTTCCCTATATAGAAGTGTCTTGGAAATGCCAGTCCCTATGCCCAAGCCTTGCCACTTGTACCATTCTCACTTTTCACTGTCTTACCTGAAGCCTGGCCCACATTAGTCACCAGCGTAGGTGTCAGTACTCTGGTTCCAGATTGGATTACCTGATTCCATTCAGCTAGATGTTTTTTTTTTTTTTTATGGAAAGATTACTCAACTTATTTAATGACTAGAGAAATGCAAATTAAAATTACCCACCAGCTATACAAAGATTAAAAATTCTGACATGTGCAGACAGACTGCAAAGGGACTTTTCACACAGTGTAGGTACAAGTGTTCTTGGTACAACCAACCGCAGTAAGTTTGCCTTCTCTAGAAAAGTTAAAAACCTGCATAATCTATGATCCAGAAATACCAATCATGGATAAGAGCTTAGATATTTCTATCATATTAGTTCTCCTAAAACATCTTGATTATCTCTTTTTAAAAATAGCTTTAATATTGAGGTGTGAAGCTGTGCTAAAATTATATAGTATTGTAAACCATTGGTAAATCAATAAAATTTGATTTAAAAAATAGCTTGGAGGTGTAACATTTTCTAGATCACTCTTTCTAAAGTATACAAATTCAGTGGTGTATGGTATATTTACAGAGTTATGCAATCATCACCTCTCTCTAATTCTAGAATATTTTCATCACCCCAAAAAGAATCCCCCAATCCTTGCCAGTCACTCTCCCTTCCCTCCTCCCCCCAGCCCTTGGCAACCACTAACCTACTTTCTGTCTCTATATTTTTACCTATTCTGGACATTTAAATTATATGGAAACATATAAAATGTTGTCTTTTATATCTGGTTTCTTTTTCTTGGCATAATGTCTTCAGAGTTCATCCATATTGTAGCATGTGTCCATACTTCATTCCTTTGTATGGCAGAATGATTCTCCATTGTATGGATGGACCACATTTTATCTATCACCTCTTAATGGACATTTAGGTTATTTCCATCTTTTGGCTATTATAGATAATGCTGCTGTGAACATTGTGTAGAAGTTATTGTGGTGATGTATTTTTTTCATCGGAATACATAGGAGTAGAACTGTTGGAGCATGTGATAATTGTATGTTTCACATTTTGTATAACTGCCAACTGTGTAGAAATCCTATTCCTTAAAAAATTTACCCAGTGGGGCGCTGCATTTGTATGGGGAATATAACAATAAAATTTATTATCTAAAAAAAAAATAAATAAAATAAAGGAATGTATCACACAGGGACTTAATAGATATAGAAAAAATTGATAGTTAATAAAAGTTGTTTGAGAAAGTTAAAAAAAAAAAATTACCCAGTAGTTTTTGAGTTTTTGACATTCACCAATGATTCTCACCTGAACCAGTTATTAAGGTGGTTGAAAAAAATGGTGAATTTTCTGTCATCCTTTCTATAAGTTGGCACCCTTCTGTAGAGAACTTTTCACTTACCCCATCTCAATTAATTATATTATCAGTGTGGACTCATAATTTTTGTTTTTCAGTGTGTTATAATCCATTACTGCCTACTATCTTTATTCATTGTGATTTTCAAATTGTTCAATTTGGCTAGCAGGTGTCCCTTTGCGCTGATCTTTTGACAACTCCTCATCAGTCATTAAGTACTTTGTATCACAAATATATGTTCACATAGTAGCTCCCCCATTTCAGACCTGGAATAAGCAATTTCTGAAGGGATCTCTTATCTCTTTTGGTGGGGAATGATATACAGAAATGCTGGACGTGCTCATAGCTACTTGGATTCTTATTGCCACATGATTCCCTTCCATCTTTCTTTTTCCCCCTTGTATTTAATATATCCCTCTGTCCCTGCTTTTTCTTTGTTTGTTTGTTTGTTTGTTTGTTTTGAAAATTGGTAGTTAGATCTTAAATCTTGATGATAATTCATTACTGGTTACAAAATGGTGGTGTTCTAATTCTATCATTCCTTTTTTGTTTACTAGCTTAAATACTTACATAAAGAGGGACTGCCCTCCATCTATTATTTGATTATATGTTAGTTACATGTGAGTTACATATTATACACAATGGGTGTATAGTATACATATGCATTATATGTGTTTTTTCATTTATTTACCAGTTTTCTAAATAATGAATTGGTTTTGTAGCAAAAGTGAGTAGTAAGTCCTTTCTTGAGTATCAAGTATGGACTTACAAATTTAAACACTTGTGTGTTAGGCTATTATTGCCTTTTCCTTGAATCAAATTGCTCCATCTCTGGCCATTGGAAGCCCCTTCAAATTAATTCCTGAGTGTTTGATAGTTTCCTGTTTTGGGGATGTTCCAAGTTCATTTATTTATTTCCCATCTCCCCAAGGAGCCCTAGCTCTTTTCAGTGATAAATATTTTAAGACCATGATGTGGATGTTGGGGAGTTTTTTCTAGGCCTTTTCATTTGACATAGATAAGAATTATGTAGAACAAAAATTTTTAAGAAAATATGTAATTTATTCAAACTGATATTTCCAAATCAAATTCTTGACTAAAAAGGTTTTAATTTATTGATATTACAAGTGATAGTAGTATTGTTAGTATTCTGGGACTGCTGAATATGTACTGTGGATGGAACCCACGGAGGTAGTCATGCTGGTACCACTGAGATTCAAGACTTTTCAACATCATTGTTAGGAAATTCCAATGAGAGGGTATTTATTATTATTAAGAAATCCTTTTATATTCAGTTTTGCTTTATGATAAAATATTTTTAAATACTTATTTGGATTCAGAAATCAAATGTGGAACATGTGGATATATTCAAAGAAGTCCAACTTCTTTCCCTCTATATCCCTATAGGTAAATATTCTTCTCCCTATAGGTAACCATATATTAAAGCTAAAAGTTTATCCCTTCCATTGTTTATACAATACGAGATATATATATATATATATTTATACACACATATATGTACATACACTTTTATGCACTTGTTTTCTTCCTTAGAAAAATAGTAACCTACTACATACACTATTTATCACCTTTTTTTTTAATATTGAGTTATTTATTAATACAAGCACTGGGTACAGTCAGAAGCACAGGTGGGTGAGAGAATTCACCAGAGCCAGAACAGGGAGCAGAACAGGCAGACTAATGAAATACACTGCTGAGGGAAGCAGCGGGCAGCAGGAGAGGTCTGTGTGCCATGTGGGACCCTTGCTGGTGGCTGGGGATCGAACCGGCGCTGCAGAGGCTGCAGGCAGCCTCGCAGCCCAGCGCTCAACCACTGCGCCACCAGGGGAGGCCCCATTAGTCACCTTTTTTCACTTAATAGTCAAGAACATGTTAAGTACATCAAGATAATCTTTATTTTTATAATGATGTATTTACACTTTAAAACCACAGTAGTAGTTGTTATAGTAAATATTTGAATATACTTCTATATGCTAGGCATGCCCTATTATAAGTAATTTAATGCTGTCATACATATGGTGGGCACTGTTACAATTCCTATTTGCCAGGTGGGAAAGTAAAATGCAAGTGGATTAGATAACATGCCTAAGACCACAGAGTAACTGAAAGGCTAAGCCAGAATTTGATCCCTGGCTAGAGAGCCCAGGACCATAGCCTCATGTGCTGTGCTGCTTCTTACCACTTAAGCAAGTACTAATTCAGCAGCTCCTTGGTAGAGCTTGGTTCCCATCAAATGTATTTTGTGAAAGCTTTTCCTATGATTCTGATGTTCACTCATGGTTGAAGAGCTAGTGTTTTGCTATTGAAAGAAAAGAAGTCTTAGAAGGAGAAACCACAGCTGCACAAGCCATTTTAAAATTCAGTATTACTATCATAAATAACATTATTAAATTTAAGTGTCAATATGAATAGTTATTGAACTCTTTCAAATTTTCTGTGTTTGAAAACTTTCATATAAAATTTTAGGAAAAGGTGAGAAGAAAAATAAACTACAAAAACAATGAAAACTCAGCATATGATTTCTGAATCATATACAGTGAGTGTTACAAACTAATGGTACTCATTTAAAAAAATTATAGAAATAAAAAAACTCAGTGTATATGCTAAAAACCATATTTTATTGACTTGAAACAACCATCCATTTTAAGACACCACTATGACAAATTGCCACCAATTAATGACATGATGTTGAATGTAGGGTGCATCTGGATTCAGAGATGTTAAAATATGAATAACATGCATCTTGTAATTGAAATATGGTATATGGAATGCAAGTTTTATTTTAACTGTCTCAATGAGTACTACAGATAACTGACTACTTTAGAAGTTAATGACAAAGTTATATAGGAAGATCAGAGTCACTGTCTTGAAAAGACTACACTGCTTCTTGAAAGTTAACTAGATTCTTATAGTTTATTTTTTTTATTTTTTTACATCATTGTTCATTTTTAAACAATATTTGCTTCCCCCCACACCCTCAGGTGTAGTCCCCATAGAGTTTCCTTCACCAGTGCACCCGTGCACCATCACCTCATTCCCTGTGTTCCTCTCTCCCTGCCTCTGATCCCTCTCCCTCCTCCTTCCCTGCAGTATATCTCTGATTTGCAATTGTCCGGTTTTGCTTTGTTGTGTTTTGTACTGTTATTATTTTTTACACTGTTGTCTTATTTGGTTCCATTATATTCTTGCTATAAGTGAAACCATCTGATATTTTTGGTTTTCTTTCTGGCTTATTTCACTGAGCATAATTCCTTCTAGTTCCATCCATGTTGCTGCAAATGGCATGAGTTTATCTTTTTTGATCGCTGAATAATATTCCATTGTGTATAAATACCACATTTTCTTGATCCAGTCATC